CCAATACGTTTACACCTGTCGACACTACGAGTTAGTAGAAGTTGCCTTGAATAAAGATGAATAATCTAACTTGTTTTCTGCAAGACACGTCTCCGATTTCGAGTGCCAGCGTAGACGAGGGACAACAAGTAGAGGCGTACAACGCCTGGGTCGATACTGCTATAAATCAAGAAATAACGGGAATCACACAGTATCAGGTGAGTTCATTATTTTCACCTTATTTACAAGTTCCATTACTTACCAGTGGGCTTCGTACAGTGGGGTCAAACTGGCCTTACCCAGACATCCGAGCCCGCGCTCACTCATCAGTCCGGAGTTGGAGGAACGAATACAGCCTCTTCTCCCAATGATGGTTATGCAGGATATGCCAGTGCTGTCAAGGAGGTACTACAAGCTGGTGCAATGAGGCTTGAAAACGCCGCGGCCAGGAAACGGTAGTACTCTTGCATGAGTTACTGTTTTGTCTCGTTTTCTGTCCTTTTCTCTTCTCACCAATGATAATTCGAATAAGACTCTTGTAAATAGCTAGTATAAAAACCTGAAAATAAACGATCATAGACCCTTTCAACTTTCAATTACTGCGCTGCCTCGTCTCTACGTACTAGGCCCATCTTTCACCATTGCTGGACTCGGTGCTCTCCACACCAATCTCTGAGTGGCACAGCTATCTAAGTGAGGTATGGATATTCACTTTTGTCCCCGGTTTAATGTTGCTGGTGAGGTTAAATGCACGACACTCCAAGTGAAGCGGATGATTTAGCTTCTTATAATCTTATATCGTGTCCCTTTTTTCAGTCTCTGTCACTTTTCATAGAGATATCATACGTCCTAACAGTCTTCCATCGTCCATTCTGATCTACGACCTAATAAGCTCCAGCTTCATTCGACTTTGGACCTGACTATTCCCAGGCGAAACGATTCGAGATCTCGATTTTGAATATCTTGAATTAAAAGCACTATTTCAAATGTCTTCAAATATCTTCAAATGGTATTGGCGGCTGTATTGGCCAACATAATGCGTACCGTAAAGACACAAGAATGGCCCTCATATTGACACAATTTTATCAATAAAATAATGTCTATTATTGGTGTTATTTTTCCTAGTCGATACATTTCGCCTCAATTTTACAAGTTTTCCCGCAATTCGACAAGCTGTCCAGAAATCCTTTCCATCTACGGTGCAGTGCCTCCAATTCACTCAACCAGCAGCTAGCCGTAGCGCAACTTTGACCCATCCCCTTCTGCGTCTCTCTTTCTTGGCGAGATGAGACCTCCTAAAATGCAAATAAAGCCGTTAATAAGATCCTTGAGACTATTCACATCTTGGCCCAAGCGCAGGAAGAAGTCGGCGCTCACACTTGACACTTCCCAAACGGAGGACCAGCTGGCAACGACCTTTGCGAATGCATCACTCGCAGAGCGTACTGTAGCAAATTCAATCGAATCTCTACAGACCCTCCCTAATGAACTCCTCGAACATATATGCTTTCAACTTCATCCCTTGGAAGTTGTTAAATGCCGCCTCGTGTGTGTTTACTGGCCGCGATACAAAATTTCTTGACTTATACCATCTTATGTAGTTATTCAGGCGCTTTAAGGAGCTGATTGATGGCTCAATCGAACTTCAACTCCGGATCGGCCTGGCGATTGACGGCTATTTACTCAGCTATCGAGGAAAGCAACCTGCAAAGGACGTGGCTGCTTTTCACGAAAAACGTCGGAGTGCCTTGGAGAGCATGAAGTGTGTCGCGAGCTGGGAAGAGCCTTTTGCAGCGGGGGATGTTGGCCAATATGCGGTACGTCATCTTTCATAACAGAAGATACTCATTATTGATCTGCATTAGGCCCGTGATGGGATCTTGGCTCAAAGCCTTGGCGACCCTCCAACAAGCGGTGGCTTTAGGACTCTTGTTTACAAAGAGTTGGTACCTCCTCAATCCGGGAAGAAAGCATGGGTCCACACATGGCAGGACCTTGGTTTCTTGTCTATAGACTTCTCTTTCTGGATACAAGGAGATCTGCAAATACTAATAGAACCTCGTGACAATGAGTAAGGTCTTACCA